TTTCCCTATAAAGACTAAAGGGGGAAGGAGAGTGGATGGAGGTACAATGGTGATGGGGGGAAATAATGAAATAAAGAGAAATAAAAGATTGAAGGGAAAGAAGAAATGTGGAAAAGGCAAAGGAGCTGCAAGGGGCCTTCTCCATCGATGTTTATGCCCAGAACAGCTGGCAAATCCCTCTTCTCAGGCCAGTCTTTCCAGAGGGAGGAGCACGCAATTGCCATCCTGTCAATGGGAGGCACAAGGCTTCCCACACTTTCCCAGGTTCGATCTGCTGACCTGCATTTTTATGGAATGGGATTATTTGTTTTTGTTTGGTTTGTTGTAATAGGGATTTTTAAAGGCATGACTGTCAAAAAGATCACCAAAAACTTTGTCTTACTGTATTACCTCTACCCAGCCCCAACCAAGCCAAACTTCCCTAACTTTTTGTTGTTGATGTTGTAGAAGAAATGTTAGGAGATATTCATATCCTCCCCAGTGGGATTTCATAATACTTTTCAAAACAGGTTCTTGAGGAAGAAGGAATGATAGGAAGAACAAAGAATGGAAGGAAAACAAAACACATATGGAAAAAAGAGTATGCTGAGCTGATGACAGAAAGCTTTGATTGTGCTATTCATCTATGTGTTTTGGAGGATAAAGGAGGAAGGCATCCTGTAGTGAGTGGCTGTGGACATGGGTTTGTAAAGCGTTTTTAGTGGTGATGCAGCTTTAACAATAAAGAAAAATACTCTGTTGATAGTAGAGAAAGAACAGAGAGGATACGGAAGAGGGAGCTTGGGCAAAAGCCACTGCCAGAGTACTGGATGCCTGAGCTCAGCCTCGGTGCCACTCAAGGGAAGTCCTTGTTGGCTCTCCCCATGTGTCTGGTTTGGTTAACACTGTTTGGCTAATGAGGTTACACAAGTGGCCACTCCTCCCTGAAGGACTAATGAATGAACTCTTGAGGTGATCATACTCTGTAGGAGACACATGAAATTCTTATTTAGACCAGAACCCAAGCCTTCCAAATTGCTAACTGGTATCTTAGTAACCATACTAGAGGCCTGATGCATGAAATTCGTGCAAGGGGATCAGCCTTTGCAGCCCTGGCTTCATCCGGAAGGTTGTCCAGAAGGATGTCTAGAAGGACATTTGGCTGTCTGGTCTAATTAGCATAGTATGCTTTTATTATTATAGATGGGCTGAAAAATGACGCACAAAAATTTTTGCACTCGGGGGAAGGGGAGTCCCTCAGACTGGCCTGTGCCCTCTTGCAGTCTGGAACCCTTCGGGAGATAATGAACTGTTGGCTTTCGTCTCAACTAGGCACTCAGTGGCTTCACTCTGGTAGCTTGAAGTGGATGCTGCTGGGAGTACTTATACCATCGAAATTGGCAAATGCTATGTCTTTGTCTGAGGTGTTATAACAAAATGCCATAGGCTGGGTGTCTTATAAACAACATATATTTATTTCTCATAGTTCTGGAAGTCTGAGATCAGGGTGCCAGCATGGTCAAACAAGGGCCTTTTTCTAGGCTGCAGACTTCTTCTTGTATCCTCATATGGCTGAAGTAGCTAGGGAGCTCTGTGGGATCTCTTTAAGGGAGCTCTGTGGGATCTCTTTTAGGGAGCTCTGTGGGATCTCATGAACTCCATTCAAGAGGACACCACCTTCATGACATAGTCACCTCCCAAAGGCTCCCTTTTCTAACACCATTCCATTGGGCATTAGGAAAGGATTCCAATATGTAAATTGGGGGGGGGCACAAATCATCATCAAGGCTTTTTTTTTTTTCAGAGAGCCAGTGAGCCAGTTTCCCAGCACACCACTGAGTTACATGCATATGTTAGAAGACACTCAATATAACATATACGTCTCTGTGATGAAGTTTGTTGCTTAGCTTTCTGAGTATATATTTAAAGAAGACACTGCTTGAGACAGTATTTTGTTAGACTGTTAAGGTTCATATCTTACTAATTGTGACTTAACCTCCCTTTGCCTTAGTCTATCCTTAAAATGATAACATAAGAATACCTACTTCATAGAATTGTTCTGATGATTAAATGAGTTAATATATGTGATATACTTTAAAAAGTGCGGGCACAGAGAAGGTGCTCAATAAGTATTTTCTATTAATATCAATGGGAGATGAGACTACATGGTTTCTTACAGTGTTCTCCTAAAAGACTCCTAATTTCAGTTTTTGTTCCTGGTTGAGCTTTTATATCTTTCTGAAGCCCATACCCAGCTTCCACAAGTCCTGTGAAGAACCATTCAATGAAAGCACATCAGATCACTTTGAGATGCGTAAAGTACTATGTAAATGAAAGGTGGAATAATTATGTGAAAGCATCATCTTGAATTTTGTTTATACTGCATCTTTGAAATGAGCATCAGATTTTTCTCTAGGCAGTTACTGCTCCTACAGAAACAAACACAGATGGTGCCCAAGCTTCCTACTGCATAGTTTTAGGCAATGGCATTTATCACAATACCGCAGGTCACTAAATGCACAAAGACTCAAAACAAACCCACTTCTTCATGTTAGGCCCACATGGTAATTTAGGCAAATAAGCCTTTGTTTGATAATTCAAGGATTTTCTGATTTGTAGAATGCCCTAGCACAACAAACGGAAAATCTCTTACAGGTCGGCAAAGTTTTACAAAATAGGATCTTAAAATGAAATTTCTTTTAGAGACAAAAATCAGATTGTCATTTCTGATGAGTGTTTCTCACCAAATTAAAACATGGTAGATGTTCCCATTTTACCATGACCTGGTCAAGCAAAGCCCAGAAAGTGAGAAAACATGTATAAAAAGATATTTTTTCTTAGACTCAAACCTTCCGAGAACCCAGTCTCTGGAATGCAGGTTTCCTTTTTTCCAGCAAAATAGTCCTGGGAGTTCCAGAACCTAACTCTCCTAGTTGGTTCTTGGGCCAGTCTATCCCTTGGATCCATTCCTTGTCTCTTTCCGCCCTCCCC